TGGGGGCTGTGACGCGGGGAGGGGGGCCCGTGCCGCTGGCCCCACCCTGCACGGAGGGGACTGGGAGTACTGAGCCCTCTGTGTGTGTTTGTGCAACTTGAAGCTCCTTCCTGCAACGAGGATGTCCAGACTCGGGGTACGGTATGCAGACGTCAGCGCTTTAACAGGACGTGTTTGACACCCCCCGCCCCCCGGCTTATTTAGGGGTTCAAGTTCACCTAAGACCCCACAGGACAAATTCACTTCTGTCCATTAGAAACAGGCCCCATTTCCATGGCAACGAGAGCCAGGACCCCTCCTTTGGTGTTAATGAAAACGAGCTGTCGGGGGACTAAGTGCCGGTGCCCGGAGCCGGAGAGCACGGTCTCCAGGGCCAGGCTCACTCAGCTCCATTTCCGGGTTAAGGAGTGGTATGATAATTGGGAAAGTTCCCGCCTGAAAATACGGATATTTTGAGAACGTGTTCAGTCTTCTGCGTATGTGAGTGGATGTGGGAGTATATCAGTATAAGGCCGCTAAAATAGGAATCCGAAACCTAATTCGGGTGTGTAACGCTCCAACATCAAAGGCTGCCATCCGAGCAATTACTATGTAGACGGAGACATTACACTGGGGGCTGGCAGGCTCCGCCGTCACCCTCACTACTGCTTAATGAACTGAGCTCCATGGCAAGACTCGGAGTAAAACTCCTCAGGTGTCTCCTTTCCATGTGACACTCAAACACGGGGGCTGGAAGGACGGGGGGCATGGTCGCTCCCCGCCCCCATGGAGGAGCAGAGGGCTTGGCTCAGATCCTAAGGGCTCCCCCCCCCCTCCTCCCCGGGCCTCAGTGGTGGGGGTTCTCCATCTTTGTGCTTTTATGGGGACAGACAGACAAAAGAGAGACAGAAGACAGACAGGGACTGCGGAGACATGCAGAGAAGTTTTATTTATCACTTATGTTAATATTGTATTTACTGCAGAACAGTCACAGAGAAGAGCAGGCAAGGGTTAGAGGGCGGGTTAGGCCAGCATCTAGCACACAGGTGTTCAGTAAGGACTTGTCACTACTTCTCAAATGCCAACTTTTGGTACAGTAAACTGACAGCAGTCACTTGTTACATAGATGCCTATTTGGATGTCACACTACATTTTTAACAATTAAGGAGTCAATGTCTATTTGGATGTCACACTACATTTTCAACAATTAAGGAGTGAATGTCTACTTTGGATGTCACACTACATTTTGAACAATTAAGGAGTAAATGTCTACTTTGGATGTCACACTACATTTTGAACAATTAAGAATTTCATTCCATTTTTGTTGTTTTTGTGATTTTTGGTATTTTTCAATTTTTTTGTGTTTTTTTTTTAATTTTTCAATTTTTTTGAGTAGTTGTTTAGTAAGGACTTGTCACTGCTTCTCAAATGCCAACTTTTGGTACAGTAAACTGACTGACTTTTTATGTAGATGCCTGCCTATTTTGGATATCACACTACACTTTGAACAATTAAGGATTTTATTCCATTTTTGTTGTTTTTGTGACTTGTCTATGAGTTAATAGAATAGTCAAAACAAGCCTTGACCATTTTTTGGTGTTTTTTTTCCCCTCTCCCTAGTTATCTTTAGAGGTTAGGTGTAGGCCCCCTCCCCCCACAACAGAATAGTATTCTTATTAGAAGTTCCTAAAACGGGTAATCCCAGCATGCAAGGGTGATAGGACAGTCGGGGGAAGGGGAAGAAGAGAAACCGTAGCCATCATCTAGGGGTAAAATATTCTAAAAGAAACAGATGAACAAACATGTGTCAGTCACTTTGTCCCGACCCCCATCTCCTTTGCCCCGCCCCTCCCAGCCACTTCTCTGAGATGTCCTAACTCAGTCCATGGCCCTGCATGGTCTCATGAGAAAGCTGCCGATGACAGCATGCTGAATGTGCAGGCACAGCTGGAGCAGGTTACCTGTCATGCATGCATGTGTGTGCTGGCATGTGATGGTGGTGGGGATGCAGGAAGTGAAGAAAAAATAATTGGATAATGAATGGGGGGAAAGATGGATGCCATCACTCATCTCCTGTCCTGCCCACTAGCTGACATACAGGCCTCGGATTAAAGTGATAACTGTTCAAAGACCAGAGGCTTTTCGAGATCATTGAATGACTTATCCCCTCAGCCCACGTGCCAAGTACTTCTTTTTCCCAAATTAAGGAGGGCGTGGCACCTCGTATTTTAAGAGGAAATTTTTCTCAGAGAGGTCCGAAATTTTAAAATCAGACCACCCACTGGGTGACGGAATTTAGTAGTTTTTTTTAAAAAAGTAGCAGATTCAAATGAAGAGCTGGGGAGGGGGGGGGCGGTAGGAGCGGGGGACTGGACAGGATAGAACCGTAAGGAAAAACAGCAATTCCCCAAATCCTAAACTGATGGTCTAAGGCTGGAAGCTGTAGCTCTCCCCCAGCTGGATCTAATTATACTTTAAGGATGGCCAACAGAAAACCCACAGCAGAACTGTTTTGCATTTCACGTGCCATGAGATGAAGTTGTTTATGTGTTGTTTGC